GGATCGAACACGTGACCTTCAGATCTTCAGTCTGACGCTCTCCCAACTGAGCTATCCCCGCTTGTTGTTCTTTAGCTATCATTTTCTTAAAATCACTTATCGAGTACATTACATCAGACAGCTCAACCATGTTACACAAGCAACTAAAGTTTTGGAAAATTTTCTAAAAACCTCTAAAATCTCTTATTTCTTTAATGTATCTGAGCTACATATTAATGTATCCGAGCCAGTATTTAATGTATTCGAATTCCGAGCTACATATTATGTATCTGGTTTATTTTATAATGTATTCGAGCTAGTTTTTAATGTATTCGAGCTACATATTATGTATTCAGTTTATATTATAATGTATCTGAGATACTCTTTAATGTATTCGAACTACATATTATGTATCCAGTTTGTGTTACTTTTTATGGGATTAGTGTAATTACAAACTAAAGAGGGATAGATTGTAATTTCATATTAAAACTATCTGATTCCTAAAATTTATCCTAAAGTTTTTGTGTCAGGCCTCAAAATATTGATATTAGAGTTATATGGTGATAAAAATTATTGTGAGAAATGTTTAGTAATTTTTATTATTAATTTTAAATTTTGTGTTAAAATTTAAGTTAATATGATTCATGCAAGGTAAAATCTCTATGCTGACGTTAAGAAGTCCTGAAAATTACTTTAAAAAATTCATCCCAATTGAGACGTCACTTATTGAAGAAGACAAATAAATCTCAATTTTCCTTTTTATTTATTGGTGGAGTGTTGAGCAGTACTATAACAAAAATAACATTTAACGGTAATTAATATACACATTATACAAAGAATGTTAAAGCCTTTACATTAGTTAATTTTCATTAGATCCGATATTGTCGCTATAGGGTTTAACGTCATTTACAAAAAAAATGCAAAAATATAATTATCACTAGCAATTGATACTACAAATATATATTTGGCAATAATTATGTTATTATCGTTAATTAATTATCGTCATTTTCACTAGTAGATGGGAACAATTTGAATATGTCGTAATCTACTTAAAAGATATTGGTAATTGGCTTACCAGCTATACTAGCGTTATTGAATATTATGTCAAGCTTAATGCTACCTTACCTTCCGACCTATAAAAATATGTAAGTTAAAATGGAGATTAGTATTATCATTTTCTAAGCACAAATTAAATATAAACAAATAAAATATAGAAAGGAAATATTTTTTAGCTATTGGAGATTGACGAGAAAAATAAGAGATTTTCTCAAACTATATATGTCTCTCTCTCTTTTTTCATATACAACAGAGATTTGGAGGGTCTATTTATGGGGGGGGGGGGCAAAGCCTAGCTATGTGAGAAAAATAGCAGCCTAAGTTACATACCTTATGAAGTTTCATATCTGGTTTGAAAATCACAAGTACAATTTATATAGATTGGTGTAATAAAAAAAAAAAATTGATCGAAGCTCTCGAACCCATTCTGAAGTCACTTTAAGATTTGATTTCCGATCTAATTGATGTTTTGACATCCCAAATCGAGATAATTAAATTATCTATATGTGTTATAACAGGTAAATTATTTTGTTTTATATATTACATGTCTAACTTTTTTATGATAAGTTACTTTATGTAGTATTTTATTAGAGATCTGATGGGATGAAATTCTCTTAGAATTTCCATGCATATACTTTAAACTCTTAAGGTAAAATAACAATAATAGGTTTGGGGCTAAAGTAAATAAATATAGGTTAGCCTATTTACATTGGTACAATCTTTTATTTTTAATAGTTTATCTTTACCTATTGTAACAAATAAATCTAATTTATTCTCAATCCAATTGTTTTTTTTTCTTCTTTTAAGAAAAAATTTCACAAAAAAAGTTGTCAAATTATTCACTTTCCTACTTTTGACTAACAACCTTAACTCTTATTGTTAAGTTGAAAAAATAGAAACTTCTCTATTTACATATATTAATATACTAGATATAAGACCCCGTGCCAGCACGGGGCCCAATATATATATATATATAATTTATGTCATATTATGGAATTTGAGAAGTTATTGAAAATTTTATATGATTTTTAAAATATTTTAAATTGTTAACTATTGTGATTTGTAGTACTTTTTTTTAACATAATTTTGAAAATAATATTTATTACTCTCTTTGTTCTAATTTATGTGGCACATGCAGAATTTCAAATATTAACCCTTTTTTATATGTCTCTTTAATATATTAAGTTGTTAATTATTGTATTTTATACTACATTTTGAACCTACTTTTT